TCTATCATGTCTTGTGTGCCTCAATGCTATTGTTATTATTTTCGGGGATCTTCTCTGAGTTGAGCCAAAATGTAGTCATAGTTCCCTTGCCTTTGATGGGTATCTCTCCGCGCGATTCCGTCACAAACGTGTTGAAGGAGTCGAGTATTTCTTTGGTCGACGGACTGATATGAATCCTAAGGGCTGTCCATCGCATGTATCACACAATTAAAGTCACGTATAAATGGACCAAATATTCACAAATACTCACGCATTCCGTTGGACTCCATTCTGGAGGCAGTATTCACGGTATCGCCTGTTATATGAAATCAAACAATTAGTTATATCTCAAAATTAAGTCACTTATGAAGGCAACGGTACCGAAGAGGCAATATCTGGGCATTTTGAGACCCACCACACCGGCCACACACGAACCCGAGTGTAGGCCTATTCGCAACATTAACTGCTCGTTAGGTCGGTGTCTGATCTTGAAAGACGTGACGGCGTTCAGTAGGGACAGAGCCATGCGGGCGATCTCTCTGGCATGTCGGAGCCCATTGCGAACTGGTATACCCGACACCACCATATATGCGTCGCCTATAGTCTCCACTTTGTAGACATCGAAGCTCTCGATTGTCGAGTCAAACGTGGTGTACAAGTCGTTCAGTAGGTCCACCACCTGATGGTATATATAATTAAAATAGTCACATTAAATTTGTTAGTGCATTGAATTTTTAGTGACATTATTGACATTGTTTTATTTTAATTAAATACAAATAATTAAGTGTAGATTTTGTAGATTTGTAGATTAAAGTTTTATTTTAAGCCATATTCAAATGTCTATTTAAAATAGACTATTTTTAAATTCACGTTTTTATATAATGTGTATCACTGGGAGCTATATTAGTATTACCTTTTGATACAAGAATTCTTTTCAACTAAGAATTGACAAATAAATAAATTCTTTTCCATTCATACCTTCCATTCATTTTAATAAAGTGTTGGCAAATAGTTTGCAAACTTAATTGAAATTCAATGCGAGTTTTCCAGAAAAGGTTCAAAAGACTCATATTTTCTTTACGTGTGTCTCACAAATGACGGGTAAAAGTGCGGAATATTCGGTGTTTGCAGTTAAAGCACTAAATTTGTTTAATTTAAACACAATATCTCTATTCAGACACAAGACATGTGTTATTATTACCAGAAAATCAATTGTTTTGTGTGTTTGAGTAGAAAGTAAGGGATGTCACAAAAATATAAAAATCGTATTCCTTTTTATTACAGAATATTCTGGATATCGAGAGACTGTATTGGCTTTTATCTCAAGGGGCCGACACCTCTCAATAAGTCTGTAAATCTTGTAGTTATTGCATGAGTGAACTGTCCACTGATA